ATGTCCTTGCTCTTATCCAGGAGATTGTTTTAGCATAATGTTCTCCTTTCTTGATGGAGATCAGCTGCGCCAGTCTGGAATGGTATTGCAAGCACTCGCTTCCCATGCCGCCTGTTGACGTGAAAATAAGGGGTGTAAAAGTTCCTTGTTCGATATCCAAGACCCTCCTCGCGTAAGGGCGCTTATTATTATTATTATGATTTAAGACCACAAAACGAAAATTAGTATTTTTATTATTATTATTATTATTATTATTATTATTATTATTATTATTATTATAATAAATAGCTTGTGTATGTGTCAAGTTGTCGATAACGACAAATCAAGTCCTCCACAACTAACAAGTTTTCCTTCACTAGAAGGAAACGTTTGTGCGTTATTGATCTACATCTTAACTTCATTGTGTCAACTTGATTCTAGGCTCTCTCTCTCTCCTTTGCTCCCTTGTCGTTGATGAGAGAGACCCAGGTCGCGGCTAGTCACGTGTGACACAAGCGGAAGGGTCAACGAATATTTTGTTCATGAGGTAACTGAAGCAAAAGCAACGCGATCGCTGTAAGCCACACTCGGGCAGTACATCTTTCAAATTCTCCAGCCGTATTCTAAGCTTCACAGAGGTGAAACGAAATATATATTTATCCAGGGTACATCACTTAAGCTATTTCTCGAGGATTCGAAATTAACGTACTAGACCACAGCAACAATCAAAGCACTTTTTCATCCCCCCGCCCCCAAACAACAAATTTATTTATCATCCAGTCTCTGGGTGGTCACGTGACCAGCAGCGACAGCGGTCTCTCTCCTCAACGATAAGGAAAGCAAAGGAGAAAGAGAGCCATGTTGTCACTGTCTGTGGATGACAGAGCAATCAGTTACGTCAATACGTTTGTCGGAGCATTGTTGTCAGCGTACCTCCGCCATGTTTAAACAGTTGTAGTCGAAGTTGTTATTTTGACATGTGATGTCAGCCAAATCCGTTTCACTTCTTTTCGTTGTCTTTGATTCAATGCTGTTTTTACTTTGCATTGTTTTTACCGTGGAACATCCTGATCATTTCGTAGTTGACGCTAGTCCGGCACCAAGGTCTTTTGAATGCTTTGTATATATATTCTGTTCTGGACACTAACAGTTACTTTCGCCGATCATAAGTCAGTAGTTATCGATCAACTATTTCCACAGAAAAAACGTCAGACAGAGACAAAACTTAAAATACATGTATATATAGCACAAACCCCAAACGTTTTGGTGTTTTTGGTTTTGGAATTTAAGGAACACATTCTCATTTGTTGTTAGATTTCAGTCATTAGTATGTGTGGAGAATGTCGGATAGATTGTTGTTTACGCTTGTGTCCTGCTTCGTCATTTCTACACGGACGAGATGACGGGCGTGGACTGAAAGCAGTTCTGACGTACAGTCGCGTGGTCAGCTCAGTTTTGGATTCAACATTGGTTGCGGCCAGCCACTTTCTTAACGTGGAGTGACGTCACACCGTGAATGCAAGCGGGAGGTTTTGCGTTTACCTGTATATCAAGTATATTTCTAACAAGTACAAACTTCCTCTTGATAATAAATATGTTTTGGCCCTGTTATCTTTCAGGAAGGAAAGCTTTTATATGATGCTACCGTTAAACTTCCTTGTTGATTTTTTTCTTTGCTGGGTCACTCCAATCCGCCAAAATAAAAACTACCAAATAAACAAACGCACTAACATAAAGAGAAGTATTGGTGATTTTTTTGGTGAATATTTTGTTTTTATTTAATTCCGCCTTTACATTCGTGGATTTCCTGCTCGCCGGTAATATTTGGTGTGGTGTCTTCCAAACGGATGATGATTCTTCAGTGTTGAGATTGGAGATTTTCCGGTCTATCTGGCGGCTCGCCAGATGAATATGAATGTGAGTTATTTTTCTATCATTTGTCATCACAGTCTGTCATTTAAACCTTCTTTTCTTCGTTTCCAATCCTGAAAAGATGGGATTTTATAGTTGGCGTTCATTTTTCATTTGTGTTTGTATTTTATTTTCGGTCTAATTCGTTATGAAAGTGTATTGTTTTAACATCGAAAGCAAAGTGCGGTTTCACAAGAAAACGTTGTAAAGGCAAAGTTGTAAAATTCTTAATTTATCTTATGTGCTTGAAGTCAAGTTTAAGTTGACATAGGTCGCCGAGCGGGGAAATATTTAATATTCCTGTCAAAAATAAGTGACAACGCGCTCGCTCTCCGTCGGAAATAAGTGGCAGTTTGAAGACAGGTGAAACGGTTGCTGAAGTTTGTATGAACACACTCTCTTTTCTTGTAATGTTTATTCCTAATCAGAGAGAACAGTTTTTCAATTTTGTCGTTCTTTGTGGAAAACAAACAAAAGCGTAGAATATGTCGAGATGTGAAGGCAGATGGCAGCCGTTAAAGTCGCAGACTGTGTATTGTGAATTGTGTTGTTTTTGTTTTAGTTATAACTTGCTTTTCTTCATGAAGAGACGCTCTGATCTTGTCGAACAAAAGCGCAGTGGGACTCTTTCCTGAATTAACATTCTTAGGTGAAGTTTCTTGTTTGGTGAATCCTCGCCAGACTCTTGGCTCCTGTTCGCTTGTGATAGTTTCTATTGCACGTTATTTAAGGTTTATGTTGGTATTTGCCCAGTTATTTCCGTAATAGAGTTTTTGGAAAGCTTTTCCGCCACTGGAGGTTTTCTCTTGTTATCTTGTGTCATTCTAATATTACATTTTGAAGTTTTAAAAACGTCATCCATCATGACAAAGACCTAAATAGAGCGGAAGTCTAAAATGGCCGATAGATTTTAGCGATTTCTCGCCTTGTAGCTAATTTCTCGTGGTAGGAGGGATTTTTCACTTGTTAGTTCAGGGAGAGTTTAAAGTTTGTTTTATCTGCCTGTGATGGACAAGCACTTTGATCGTTTTTAGACTTGACTTTCTTGTTGTGTCCTCATACTTAAGTCGTTTTTAAAACGTGAGCGGCCAGCAGCATATAATAGTGTTGACCCATTCTTGCCGTCCCAGTGAAAATTCACAAGCTTGAATTAAATTTTGCACTCGTATAGTCACGGCTGACACACAACGGAAACGAGTTTTACAGCCAATTTCCTGTGTTTTAGTTGTTCTCTGATCTATCAGCAAGCACCTGACAAAGGGACACAAACACAGGTGAAAGCGATTGGTTCAGTTGTGTGTGTTGTGTTTTTATGTTATTACCGAGAATTCCTCGCTTCCTTGACAGCTCATAAGAAGTCTACTCTCTTTCCCCTCATTTTATCTGTTTCTCTTGCAAACACTTCACTTTTGGAATAATTGCCGATGTTTACTCATTTCTAGCCCCGCCATTGTTCTGCAAATGGCCATTAATTGAACGAAATTATGTCCAACCGAAAGTTGGTGTGCTGTTTCTTCAGCTGCTCTTGTCTTGCTTCTCCGGTGCTATAGTGTTGTTCGCAGTTCAGACGCATTTCTCCCTGGCAATATTTTTACGAAAAGCAAATTAAGGATTTTCATCGCCTGTGTTATGAGAGTGCGGTAAGGGAATATTTTGTGAAACTGAAACAAGGAAGCCGACCAGATGAAAGTAGTCATATACTTGTGTTTCGCTCTGGTATATCTTGTATATATTTTTTAATTACGCAACAAAGAGTTACCGATAACATATTCCACCTTTTGCTTTCGGGTTGCGGACAATGGTGTCGCACAATCTTCGTCGTTTCTTTACCCGGAAACTGATTTTTGGACTCTCGGTTCGATACCTAGTGCTTAGAAATTATGCGAGAGACACGTTTTAATTGGAAATTCCGTGCGGCCTTGTGAATATTACACTTTTTCGCCCACGTGCATTTATCTGCTTCGTTTTTTGATAATTTTGCTCCAGTTTTCGGTTCATATTCAGACCAGGTGTGAATAACTAGAATGCGAAGTACATAATAATTTTCACCTATATTTTCTTGACGACGTGTAAACAAAACGAAGCGAAAGAGTGACTTAACTATAGCGTGAACGCACCTATATTTGAAAATTTGTTCAGTCAAGATGGCGGGCTGAGAAGGTGTTTACAGTGACTGTCTGTTAAGCGCAGGTGGTTATGTGAGACAAATGGTTCCATCTAACATCTAACCTAGTCTGCCGCTTGTTGACAACTTTGCTTGGTTAGTTCAATCGACAATGTTAGATTTTAAGCATGTCTTTTTTTTTGTATCCGTGTTCTGTTCGCTTTTTTGTGTCACGATTTAAAGCTGGCTGATAGCTAAAGCAGTGCGTTTACTCCATGGTAATCTCGGTGAATTTTAGCCGCATCTTGATCGATTCAACCTTTCTGTTGACCACAGCATTCTTTAAAAATTAAAGAAGCCGGAAAGCACGACTTTTGGCGATTCCCTTTTCTTTGCGTGCGTATATAAACGTAGTGAAAATAATTAGGTTGCCAAGAGTTTTTAGCCGGAATCAACTGAAACGGTTGCTGACACCAATAGATTAGATGGAAGCCTGAAACCAAATTACACCTTTGCTAATTGCAGCTCCAATTCAATTTAAGTGAATTCCATGTTTTTATTTTCAGGCTATCATCAAGAGTGTCATCATCCCGCTATTCCCGCCGAGGCCCTAGAGTTTGATGCGCCGTGGATGTGTGTTTACTGTTCTATCGGCGCGTTTTGTCCGTATCTGGAGAATCCATTCGAAAGTAAACCCACGAGAAAAGGAGTCAGAAAGACAAGAATTCACACGGTAAAACTAACTTGCTTCTTGTGATGAGTTCATGTAATGCTGTCTGTTAAAATGGTCGCTTCAGTAATTTCGGTTGATTTGCCGGCGCTGTGGGACTTGTTTGGTTAGGGAAGACTTTTCTTGCGGCCGGATATTAAATGTTTTCCTGAATAAAATCATTTCTTTTTGAGAGTTAAAAAAATAAACAACGCTTTTCTCCCTACCGAAAGATACAAAACTTTGTGGTAGTTCTTAATTTCGATTACTTTTAAGAGGTAGCTATAGACGTTTCGGCAGTAAGGGTATTTTCCACTCGGTTGTAATTATTTCCCGAGTTTAATTTCCTGGTGATTCGAGGGACATAACATATTGTTTGATGAAGGTAACATTAAGCTGTTGGCCGGCCGACTCGAATGGCTTGGCTAGTGCTTTCGTGACGATTTTGTTCAAGGACAATACAGAAACCTTCGTTTATTTTCGCTGACAACGACGCACACAAAAGGATGGCTGATTAGAAGAAGCTTAAATTGTGCTATAGAAGGCATAATGTCGACTTATTCCTAGGCTTGATAATGACTTGCAATTAACCTAAGATCGCTATGAACAGAACGGCACATGCACTCACATACCAACCGATCTGCCACTTACAAGGATGCTTGTTTCAATCGGCCCTTGCAGTCGCAGGGATAGTTTGGTTGTTCTTCTGAATTAATAAGTTTTCAGAGATCATTCTGAATGCACAGTTCGTATTTTGTCTGCTTATGTCAAGTGAGTATCGCCAAGAACAGCTGCATGTCTCACCATGGCAAAACATGTCATTCAAATAGCTTTCTAGCAAACTGCTTACATGAAGTACACGCTCAAGTCTGAGGAACCGTGGGCGCTTTTTCCGGAATTTCGAAACGGAGCAAACTGATGTTCGGAAATTTCCTGGTTAAGGTTCTAGAAAATCAGAACGATTGAATGTGTCAAATATGAACCACTTTACTGTTAATTCCGGAAAATCCCTGGAGGAATTTGTTGAAACATTTATGCCAGTGTATAACTTACGAGGTCGTTCTATTTTTCTGAATATTTCGGAGGCATTCTCCAGTCCAGTACAAGTGACCAGGAAATGTTGCCCCGTTCGCTACTAGTGATGCACGAAAATTCAAAACGGAATTTATGATCGAATGGAAACCGCCTTGAATTCTGTAACATTGATTCAGTGTAATTTGGGTGTTTGGAGACATCAGTTTACCGATGTCTGTCAGCTTCATGCTTTATAACCTTGCCACACTACCTTTAACAAATTTAACACAAATCTTCAGATCTTACTAGTTTTCATTCATTTGTTTTGCTCTCGGTAGTAAAACTGTTTAGTGTTGGTCAGGACGATTCAGCCACCCTTGCAGATCAGCCAGTGTTTTCTCATGACCTGCATGGCTGTCTATTTTGATATTTGCAGGAGAAATTATTCTTTGATCAGTTTAAGGACTGAAAAGGCTTTTGTTTTTCCTTATATGTCATGCAAAATGGCATCTTTGGTTGACTTTTGGTCAATATTTGTAGTCGATGATCATATTTGTATCAGTTTGCTTTCAATGGTTTCGTATTTTTCGATTTACTTCAAACACTCGGCCTGGGGGATGTCGCGTTCATATGACTGACATCCTTGACTTTCAATACAAGGACTTGGCCTCGTTGAATCCTGACAAATTTTGATGCTCTGATATCTTGGCGCTGAGCAGCAGCAGTCATTTCCCAACTTCTACTCCATTGACTTCGGTGTCAACCAATAGAAAACTACAACAACAAAGGAAATCGCTTTAGCTGTTCAACAATAGTAAACATCATTTACAGTTATACATCTGTCTTTATATGCAAAATCACATTTTCAGTCAAAGATTTATTTTCATTGATATTGATTCACGCAAGTCCAGTATGAAGACAATTCAAACAATATTTGGTTGATATATTTGTTGTTAGTTACGAGAAGATACAATGAAGTCATGTTGAGTTAGTAACATTCTTTTCGCTGATCTATATTTTGTCGCCAAGCAAGTGTGGACAGAACGTCTGTATATTGTTGTTTTGTATTAATCATATTTTTTTTAAGTAAAGACTCGGACAAAAATCGTAACAATTTTATCAAGTGGTGTTCTATTTTTTGTAAAGAGAAGCAAAGGTCGAAATCATGTGACATATTTTAGCAGGCACTCGTTCGTCAGGTAATGGCTGTGACAGCTACGATGACCGCAAAAAATGATAGTTTTAAGAGAATAATTTAGACATCTCTGCGTAAACAGGGTTCATTATTTCGAAGCTTCTTTGCAAACCTATGTATGAGTAAGCATCCTGTTACAAAGACTAATTGATCATGAACTAGATGTTAGCAAACTGTAACATTCGCTAGAATTAAGTTGTTGTTGACGCCATTTGCGTTTCACAGACCCTCTGAATAGTTTCTAGTCGTCTTCCTCCATGATAGAGGTAGCAGTCCAGAATACTTTTACAACCTTTACAGGTATCTTATACAATTAGAAGCTTTTAGCTTTCTTCCTTTTGTTTTTTTAATTAGTCTGAATTAAGTTTGTATTTATTTTTTTCATTTCTATTTATTTATTTACGTACGATATTTGTTTGTTTGTTTGTTTGTTGGTCTTCCCGCTATCAAAATGTTGAGATGTTAATGATTTTTCAGAGAACTATTATGTGTGGTATGATGCATGTGACAAGACCACACGGGACCCACTCGGGACCTGCACGAGACCCGCGCTGAGCACGCAGGTTGCGGTGCCCATATTGATTTGTTATGAGGTAACAAGAGGCTGAGCTGTCGAGGTTAATTTCAGTTCACAGGGATTAGATCTGATATGAACATTAGGGGCAGTCTACAGAGTTAATCCTAAGTGTATTTCCGCGAAAAAATGTGGAACAAATGGCCCGCCACTAGATAAGCTTTAAACAACTGTCAGGCCGATCACGAAACACGGAGACGTCAGAAACACGGTAAAGCAAAGACATTTGAACAATATGGAGTAAAGGATCTTCATGAGAACAATACTGGCAGACTCACAGCATGTCAAAAGTATGTCTGAGAACGCTAAAAAGTCAACTATCGACCAACAATACGTTATTACACCCTAACAGTATAGGTAATGAAGATTACTTGTATTGTATAAGTATTGTTACTGGTTAATTGTTGGGCTTCAGATTCGTTATTTACTTGATTTCCTATAGTAACAAGTAATGCAGAATCAAAAGAAAATCAAGTGTTATCACGCGTGCATTAGCGCGCAAAAATATTAGGCTCAGGAAGTTCGACAAGAGGTATGTAAAAATAACACGAGCGATCAAAGTGTGGTATAAAACTTGATATCGCCTGTTATCTTACTACAAAGCAGGGTTTCGGAATTTGAACTTTTTTCACTCTAGTTTTGTTTTGTTTCCCAGCGATCAATTACGTCGTTTACCGGTGGATTGAATTGCTACCACTAAGTACTCAGTTCCTTGTACATTATTTTCCGCATCTTCGTACAGTCACCAGGAGTACCGAAATAGCTTCTTGTCAACGGGTTTAAGGTTAAGAAATCACTCAGCATGCAGCTGTTTTTTATTTTATTTATAACTAAGAATGGAATATCGGTTTAGGAGGCCCATACATCCCGGAATAGGCCCAATATTGTATATTGTCGGCGCCGATTTTCTGCTTGGTGGAGGTCTATTTTAAGAACTGATACACAAGTTGACCTTGTACGTGATGTACTTGGCTTTTTCCCTGGGAGTGGCTTCAACTTTCATGGAATCAGTTAGAAATTGTTAAACTGCTGTAAACCACGTTCAGCTCAAGTCACGTTCCTTTCGGCCCTAAGAACAATAGATATGAAAATAATAAATAACGTCTCAAGCACAAAAAGATAATTTGATGCTATTGTCTCGGCTTGTGCTGTTGTGTTCATTTCTGCATGAGCTGGTCACGGGTAAACTTTTGATTTCTTGCGTAATTCAATGACAGTATTTTTCAAAAAAGTTTCACGACACGCGGGAACTGTTTGCTGAAAGGTTTGACCTCTCGAGAGTGTTCCTTCTGAGCTGCTAACACGTTTCGAATTTCCTGTTCTGATCTTGTTATATGAAAGTCCAATGGAAACAGTCACGGGAATATAATACGCATTTAGATGAATAGTGAGTGAATATGACTCGACATACCAGCCATTCAGCCGGATGTTTTATTTACCTCTCATCATATGTGCGGGCCAATATCAAGCTTAACACGCTGCCGAATAGTGTGGTATTGTTGGTAAATAATTGAAGTGGGTGATATCTGCTTACTTATTTGTTCTCGGCCAGTATTGCTGTACTAAGTGATAGCAATATTGCGTGTTTCATCGAGCGTAAATAAACGCGGAGACGACAACGTGCGAGCCGTTTACGGCAAACTCGTGTCAGTAAAATGTTTGATCAGATGGAACTCAAGCTTTTGCGAGGCTAATTGCTACAGCGTTCCTTGCATCTCTAGAGCTACTAAGTTTGAGGTAATGTTAGTGTTGTCTTTTCAGTGTGCGAAGCTCTGATTCAACATTTCATATGGAGGTGCCGGTAGCTAGATATCAGACAAAATACTGATAATACGGGTTTCAAGTGGCTCTTAAATGTGATATTGATTGAGGAACAAGCAGATATTGAAAGCTGTCATTACTGATAGAGCTACAGTAGTGAGTTAAATAGTTTTGTTTCCATAATAATTCATCTAAAAATCAGTCTTTTGTGTCGCTTGCGTTAGTACAATGTAGAAGCCTGATTAGATCCTGTAAATTACTCAGTTTGCGACCTCTGTGTTAGTACGAAACTGACTCCACAGTAGTAAAATGCTGTTCGTGCGTAACTCCTTTTATCACAACATGCTAAGCCAGGTGTAGCTACCTATTTTACAGATTGTGCTTAGTGATTTCTGTGCTGAAGTGACTCAGCAGTTACTATGCGTAACAGGTAAATATTTCCTTTTTAATGTCTTTCTTTTTCAATTCTTTTCAGCTCAAGTCAGGGGAACCTTGCGTGAGTTCAGGAAATTCGACGGAAGACGAGAAAGATCTACCAAGAGACAGTAGTATTAAGACTGAACACGAGGTTTCCTCGCGCGGCGATATGTCAAGCTATTACTTTTCCTCGCACTTGCATCCACGTGATGGAGCTAAACCACGAGGAAGGCCCACGTTCAGCCACAGGTCCAAGTCAAGTGGAGATAAACGTGGTCGAGGGACCAGCAGACCCGCGGCTCGCCCGGTTGTTCGGGAAAGGGATCCCTATCCTGATCGAAACTCAGAATTTGACCCCAGTCAGCAGCGCAAAAACTCACACCATTTTCAGAGACATAGTAGCGAGGTTTCACGCCATTCGGGGCGCTATGGCTCCCCTGTGCGGAACGCAAGACTCGTGGAAGATTCCGAGGGAAGAAAATTATCCCCGGCCAGTGACCCGGGAAGTAAAAGATACCAACAAATAGATGAGAATAAAACAGCTAAAGTTATTTCCCATCGGCGTGACGCGCCGCGGGAAAAACAGAGACTCACCCAGGATTTAGCACGACAAAAGAGATTACTCAGTGAAGATATTGCGCGCGCTGAACTCTTGCAACGCGAACAACTCACGAAGAAATTTGCCGATATCTTCGAAAACAAGAAAGACGGCCTTGGGACGGACAGGGCGGTTGTGGAAGTGGACGACGAGAAGGTTTGCAGTGAAAACTGTCACGAGCAGCTGTGTCACGACGGAGACAAAGAGTGTAGTCATTCTATGTATGAGCGATGTTACGGTGACCACTCCCCTGAGTACAATAATGAACATGCAAACCAGGAGAAGAAAGATATTGTTTGTAAACTTCCAGTCGAGCGGGAGTCGTTATTTGATAGATTTATGCGCAGAGGAACGGTACAGGAAATGAAAAACATCGAATTTGTAAATGAGAGTAAAATTGAAGTCAAAGGGATTCGGTACAAAAACAACGCAGGTACAAGCCCGTCTCAGTCTGAGGACGCCGTAACTGAAGGAGTGCAATGCAAAGCAGACAACGTCACCAATCGACCTGAATTTGAACCGTTAAAGTTTGAGAATGTTTCTGATGACGAGCTTACTTTTAGCGATGCCGATATAGAAAAGGCTGTTGTGGAAGATAGAAAAAGTTCGGACGACGAACTTAAAACAAATGGTGGAAGCCCAACTTATACAAAGACCTTTAGCTCCACCGAAAACGGACTGGATTCTGCGTCGGAAACAAAATGCAATGGATTAGAAGAAAATTGCGACTCGATAGATTCGCCATCGAAAACCGACTTGTTTTCCAAAGAAAGCTTGATGAACAATCTTGGGTACATGTCTTGTGAGTGCCCTAGTGAGGAAGGAAATTCGAACGGTGATGATAAAACTACCAAGAGTAGCTCTATGTGTGACAGCATGGATTATCTACAACCTAATGACCCAGATCACAGCAGTATCAAAAACTCGAAAATTGCGCGCTTGATGGACGAGCCCGACATGCAGTGCGAGCACTCTAGTAAACATGGCAATGATTGTGAGCCACAGAAAACTAATGAAGTTTCTTCGTGTGGTGTTGTAGATGAAATAAACAATGGAAATGACATTGAAAACGAGAACTCAGATTTGTGGAACCATCGTCCCTACGGTCTTGAAGTCAATGACAGACAGTCGACAGACCCTAGCAAAAACGAATGTTCGGAAAAGGAGACTAAAAAGCAAGCACCTTACAGAGTGGGAATCCTAGAAAGCAAAGCTGGAAAAGAAAATTTTGAAGTTAAGGACGTTCAAGGGAAAGGAACCTCACAGAACAATTCATTTAATGTCGAACAAAATTCAGAAAATATCGCTAACGAATCGGAACTTTCAAACATCGAAGGTATGTCGGATGCTGGTGAACTCAGTGAACCCGAGGGTGGAGCACCAGTGCCCCGCGGCAAAATTAAGAAAAAGAAGCGCAAAAAACCGAAAGGCCACAAGAACATTCATAAACCAGTTTTGAATAACCCACGCCGGAAATCCAAGGCAAACAAAGCTCGTCCAGCTGTTAAAGATGCTAATTCAAGTAAAGCAATCAAGCAGCTTGATTCTGAAAGCGACGATGACACACTACGTAGCAAGAGTAAAAACGTATGTGAAGCACCACAGCAGGCGGCGGCAGTGGAAGGCAAGGGGCTCTTGGAACTTATTGACACTCCAAATGCGTGTAATGAGTTAATGACTTCAAGAGGTTCTCCTAGTCACGGGTCAGAAGATAAGGATATAGATAACAATACTCTTAGAGAGACCGATTCAACTACTATCCAAGAAAGTGGTCAGATTGAAAACGATGACGGGAACGTAAAAAGCGGTGAACGACGATCGCTTTCTCCGAACGAAGAATGCTATCGCGCAGAGAATACTATTGAGGAGGTTGTTGCCATGGGGACTGTTGGCTCAGACAACTATGATAGCGCGCAGGAATTGAACGCAGACTCACAAAGAAGCGCAATGGAGGAAGATGGAAAAAGGGAACAAGCCAGGAAAGAAAAACGAATCGGAAAAACGAAACGAAAGAGCGACGAAAAGGAAAGAGATAGAGAAAGATCCACACCGCCTCATCTTATCAGCCAAAACCGTTACGCGCGAGATCTGCCGAGACACAACTGGCTTGTGGAGCGGCTACTGCAGCAGAAAAAACTGTGCGCCGAGGACACCCTGCAGCATGCAATAGATACAAACGACGAGCAAGACAGGGAAGATAACCAAGCTGGCAAAGAAGACGAGCTTTCTCACTCAGGAGAAAAAGAGAACGAGACTGATAAAGAAAACACAAGAACGTCACCTGATGATTTTGCCGAGCAACCTGAAGTCGGTGGCACGTTTTCTCCGAAACAGCAGAGTGATCACGAAGATCCAGCAAGTTCTCCAAGGGATGGCTTTCAAAATGAACTTCATAAGAGTTTTTTACGAAGAAGTTTTCCACCTAATGTACCTAAAACATTACCTCGATTAAAGCCTTCCTCGCCTGACGCCAGTGGTGGAAATGACAGTGGTTTTAAGTCGATCGAAAGTAAACCTCCACCACCGCCTTTAAAACACGCTGTGCCATCAAAGGAAGCCTCTGGGTTAGAACCTTTACCTAAACTGAGAAAAATTGTGGATGACAAAGGAAGTACAGAAGAACCGCAAGAGAAAGAGTCATTTACGTCAGATAATCAACGGGGTAGCGAACCTGCTACAATTGAAACAGAACAACCGCGCAAAGTCATCAGTCCTATTGAGATTCTAGATGATGATGAAGAGAAAAAGAAACGTACCTTTGAAGACAAGGTAAACATTGGCGACGCTTCACAAGCAAGCCATGAACATTCTACCTCCAGATCTAATGATTCAAGCCTAAAAGAGGGACGGAAATCACCGGTAAAATCATTAAGCGGTTCTTCACCTGACAGAGTGACGTATTTCTCCTCAGCAAAGAAGCCTTTCGGTACGGTGAATCCTACGATTCCAGGGAGTATGAAGGATAAATTTGGTCGACCTATGCACATCCCACCCCATCGCGCCGCCATTTTGATTCCAGTCGTACCAATGCATGATGGGAATGGTATGCCCATTTCACCTGGCCTCGGTCCTACATCTCCGCATTTGAAAGGCTATTCTCCCAGAACATTTACTCCGCATCTTCTTACCCACAGTGCAGCAGTACCTGGGCCGGGTATGTTTGGAAATCCCTTGTCCCAAGCAGGGCGATATCCTGCAACCAACTGTGGACATCATGTGCCCGGCAACATGAAGTCTGGGATACCATGCAAGCGGGACGTGAACTGTCCTTTTCACGGCAACAAGCCGAGAGGTATTCACTCCGGAATTCTCGATATTCCAAGCCATCATGGTCCGATGCATCCCTTTGGACCTCACAGTCATGATCATTTATCTGCAGTTATGTCACGTGAACGTCGAGAGTGCGATAAAGGCCAATGCCGGCAACCAGACTGTCAAGCATACCAACCAGATAAGCAATCACCACCCAGTAGAGACACTCTGGGGGACAAATCGGTCCTGCAAACACCGAAAGTGGTGAAGCCTATCGCACATGTCCCAGGAAAGCGACCTCCATTGATGCTGTCTCATCTTCAGCAAATTGGAAAGCATTCCCCTTCTACTCTGAGAGAACTGGAAGCTTTGCACGAGGAAAAAGCTCGGCGCTTTGGAGGTGATCTTATGCGTTCTCCTCATCAACTCCAGAAGTCTCCTGAAAGGTCCCCCAGGGAACTTGTCGTACCTAACATACCCCCATTGTATGAGCGGAGACCCCTTCATCAGCCACTTACCTTGTCTGATCTCAACCGCAGAAGAGAGGAAGAAATGTTGAGGGTGAAGGTGGATGAAGGGTTAAAATCCAAGACACTCCCTGGGGAATTAATGCTCTCCGGTCTTCCTTCACCTTCACGTGGACCGGCTAAGTTGACAACACCACCGCATTCAAAAGATCCGAGTTTGATCTGTCCTGGACGAGGATCCAGCTCGGCCACTTCACCTGTAGAGAAGAGGGACCAGACAATTTCATTACGACGCCTTGTAGAGGAGAGGGAACCCAGCTCTATCATGAGTGAGTTTCTCAAACCTGGACCCCCACGCCTTCGATCGTTAGATGAAGCAGATATAAGACTGCCATCTGAGCGGCTGAGGCGTGAAGAGCTGAGCAGAGGACCTAGCTCGTCCCTTGTAAGGATGCAGTCAGCCAAAGATGCGGTCACACACTCTGGAAAGTTATCGGATGGCAAAGAAGGGCTGGGTCCTCGAGGGATAGAGCTTTTAGGAAAAGCTGGCCGTCTAGAAAGAGACCGAAATACGGAGTCATTACACGGAAATTCTAATATCGTCAACCCAGGTCTTCGACTGCTTGATGATAGAACGAGACAAAATGGGAACAGGGAGGGACAACGCTCCAGAGAACACCTCAGCCCCGAAACGGAACAAAGGCTTCGCTTGGAGCTGTCAGGAGAGCACAAGGCGAGAAGCAGGAGTTTGGAGAAAGACACAAGAATGGAACTTAGAGACAAAGAGCGCCCCGAAGATCGCTTACTGGTACGTGCTGAGGACGATAACGGTAGGTCAAGAATGCCATTTGAGCTCTCACCACCTCTCCGTCACAAAGTGTATCCAGACAGATCATTCCTGGCCAGCGCGAGTATTCCAGGTAGGATAGATCCCCGGATGGCCACTCTGCACGAGTTGGAGATGCACAGGCGCGGAGAAGTAATTCGAGCGTCGGAGCCTTCACACCGTGAGCTACTAAGTAGAATGGCTTCATCCTTGCCTGTCACCAAGGGTGGCTCAACCATGGTAAAATCCATCTTTGTGCGACCAGATGGTTCGTTAGAACGGAGAGGCCCTGACTCCGCTCGACTGCCCTCCGAAGTTCATGTTTATTCCCCACCGACTTCCCTTGCCTCTCGAGAGTATGGGCTGATCATGAATTCACGGCAGGCCATGGAGCGACTGGCTGCCGCAGCAGGAAAACCAGAAAGTCACTTAGCAGATGTTGGAAAGGACTTACCGCCCCATATCAAACAGGTTAGTTCACGGAGGAGTAGAAAATGAAACAATTTGCCCCTTTCCTAACTGTTCATAAACTTCTTCTGGTTTCACTGGGACGTTCTCCTATATTGACGAAAACTACTCCAAAATTCAGCTTGGATTTGAAGTGTTTTGTCACTCATGTCAGTCTGTTGCAGTTAAATTGCGTAATTGAAATTTTGCTGCAGCAGTGAGTAGACACCCGCAAAGAAACTCGTGCTATTAGAATTAAAGTTAATTCTTAATAAATAGTAGTAAAATCACTAAGGTCTTTAGAGCGGTTGAAGAATATGAGAAAATAGCAACTGTTGTCCTGTCGATTCACTATTATTTATTTCTCCGACAGGATATTGAACGTTTGTTTACTATAGATTATTTACTATTTACTGTTTACTTCTCTAACAGGATATTGAACGTGAGCGAGAGCGAGAAAGACAACGATTGAGTCTAGAACAAATTGAAGCCAACAGAAGACTTCTTCACGCAGAACTTAAAGACAAAGTGAACCCACTGGTATTTAGCAAAGATCATCAACTCAGAATGGAACAAAAGCGAGATCACATGGACGCAATGAGAGCGCGAGACAAACGAATGGCTGACCGTGAGCGCCTACTTTTCATAGAGAGAGTTGCACAGGAAAGAAAGAGAAGATTTAGTGAAATTGACTCTCATAGCGGAATTCTCATGCGTCATTCTTCGCCTCCGCAGTACAGTCATGGCGCCGAACGTGAAGAGTATGAAAGAGTAAAAAGACTTAAACTCAGTGCGTCTTCGGTTTCCTCTTCTGCTTCAGGTCAACACTCTAAGCACTTGAGTCCCAGTGCACTCAGCTTGGAAAGGAAAGAGGCACACATATCGAGTCCCAAAGACCTTATAGTGAACTCAGCTTCTCAAGTAAGGGATAAACTAAACGAATCGACAGACACCAGAGTCAGTCGTCCGCGAGAAAACGAACTGGTTAGCAATACATCAAACAATGCGGCAATATTTGAACGAGATTCTCTATGGCATCGCAATCGCGAGCAACCGGTTCGCTCGCACGGAGTAATTGATCGGAAAAGAGCTGGAGTACATCCGGGAGCGGCACTACACGGGTTTGTGCAGCCTAAAGGAGGACCACTCATACCCCAACGGGAGGAAAGTAAAGGCGGCGCTGGCAGAGCAGAAGACGACGGAGTGAACCGGTGCTCAGTGTGCAAGCGTGATGCCTCGTTTCTGTGTTCTGGCTGTCAGGCGGCCTGGTACTGCAGCTCCGAGTGTCAGGTGAGCATACAGAGGTTAAAGTAGAACATCGGACAAACTTGACTTAAATTATCTCTTATGATTATTACTATTATTATTATTATTATTATTATTATTATTATTGATATTTACAAATATTTATAGGAGCGGTTTTCATTTTAGTGTCGCATGAAATTAGCATTTGCCTTGGTTTTGCATTGCAAGGTCTTACTACGCTTAGCGATTGGTTGACTCACGCCACCTTCTCAACCAACCAGAAGTAAAACCAAAACCAATTGTGACTCACTCGTGCACGTATTCTAGCGCTTAGCACTGTCTATACGTATTCGCTTAAAGTTTCGATTGGTTTACTGGATTGTCTGCGTCCTTTCTGATTTGCCAGAGTGGCAACTTGGGTTCTGAGTTAAAAACTGAAGGGTTGCCATTTACGGAATCAAGAATGAGGAACTTTATTTGGATTCTTATTATCTCTACAAAGTGTTAATCACTTGCGCACTCGTGTGAATAGACCCTTTGCACGATCCGGTCACATGGTACGGAATTAATTATGCTGGGACGCAAGTTACGCAGTGGNTTGCTGTCCAACCAGCATTGAGCATAGTTAAAGGCATTTATCGGATATTTTCGTATATTTTGTTAACAGAACTTTATTTGGATTCTTATTATCCCTACAAAGTGTTAATCACTTGTGCACCCGTGTGAATTCTTGTTGTTACGCTTCTCACTTTCCAAATTTGCTGTCCAACCAGCATTGAGCATAGTTAAAGGCATTTATCGGATATTTTCGTATATTTTGTTAACAGAACTTTATTTGGATTCTTATTATCCCTACAAAGTGTTAATCACTTGTGCACTCGTGTGAATTCTTGTTGTTACGCTTCTCACTTTCCAAATTTGCTGTCCAACCAGCATTGAGCGTAGTTAAAGGCATTTATCGGATATTTTCGTATATTTTGTTAACACTTATGGTATTAATACAGCGGGTGATACTGATTTTCCCAAAAGAAAGTATTCCAGATGTAGTTCTGTTGATGGAATGATGGCTCCGTATACCTGACTAATACAGGCGCTGGTTTCAATCTTGCAGCTGTCTGCTTGGGGAACACACAACAGAGAATGCAGCCAGAATAAGCGACAGTAAATGAAACTTCACTTCGCTGCACCTTCTCTCCAAGACTTCTCATTGGTGGTCAAGCACATTACTGAAAGAGACAGTTTGACTCACAGTCACACCAGTTTATTTAATTAAATTATTTAAAAGTAAGAAAATTCCTTTCTACAATGGTCGAAAGATTGGATAAACCGATGCTTAGTTCACTTTGACCTAGCCGCTCATCAAGAATAGGACGAAACGTTTGAGAACTGGTGGAAATTGTGACAAAATGAGGCAAAGTTGACCCGAAATTTAGGTTTCCTTAGTACTTAGTACAATTCTAAGTTAGTATTATCAATACTCCCAGTGATAATTTGTTTTGTTGCACTGGTTTGCATAATTAACCCTAAATCAGGGCGTGAACTTCATTTCCATTAAGCGGGTTATTAGGCGTTTTAAAAGAGATATTCTTAGTGGCTCCTTACGAAGCACAAGCGATTTTGAACAAAGTGATTTTCGCGAGGTTTTCTGAACGAACTGTTCTATTCATTCATTCTCTTCGAAACCTTATAATGACTATAATGTCTATAGATTTTATGAAAGAGGAAAAATTTTTAAATTCTTTTCAATCCACCGGTGATGGTGATAAAGATGAAATCAGAAATTTTACCGCGAGGAGAAACACGCCTCAATTTTTCCAGACGAGATGCGCGAAAACAAATCATATAAGTAGCGCGAATTCCTTAGATTTTTATAACAGAAAATTAATTAATAACCGGCACAGCATTTGACGCAGAGTAAAAGAAAAATTGATCTTTTTAAGAGAACTTTAGTTGCCAAACTGCAAGTTCACTAATAGTCATTACTAATGAGCCATACATGAGACTGTAGGCCCACAATGCATTACTAGGAAGGCTTTCAGTTTTCTCTTTCTTGCCTTTTTGAATTAATGTAAGTAAGTCGTTAAACGAATTTCGAAACATTAATTTATGTCAACACTTATATTTATGTAAGCCTTAAATTATGTTGGATTATAAGTGTAAAGTTTTTAGCAAAATGTATTTATTTCTGGACACAAATTTGTGCCTGTGGCGGATATGATGTACAAAGAAAAAGGATCAACGCCATTTTAACAAATAAATCCTTTGCATTTTAAAGCCTGGGGTTTGTCAAGATATTATTGGTTTCTGGTTGTGATATTTAATGAGACAAGGTCACACTATTTTTGGAGATTGTTGGACTTAAACTGGATTTGTGTTGGCAAGGGGAACATGTCATATCTGTCATATCTGATCTCTGTTGTCCGACCTTGCCTTAGACTACGAGTAGTTCGTCTTTCGCTCAGTCCATCGTGCGAGACGCCAGAGAAAACCGCGAGGAAACAATGACCGCGCGAAATCCTGGGGGCGAGGAGCTCGCGAACCAGGATTTCGCACGGCACTCACAACGGACGCGAAAGAGGGACTACTCGTAGTCTAACCTTGCCTAGTCCTAAATGGCCCCTTGTGACTTCATTTCGTCTTGGTTTTTGCTCATGGATGATATAACATCCATGAGCTTAGGAGGAACTCGAATGGCACTCACTCGATTCTGATTAATTTATTCATTTATGTATAGTGTAGTTAATAATTTTACGAAGTCATGCTAAACTTACTTTAGTTTTCATCCTTATATTATGTTATTTAGACAGGACCCCTTTGATAACAGTACTCTTGCACTGAAGGGCTATCCTGAATAAATATTCGTTATTATTATTATTATTATTATTATTATTATTATTATTATTATTATTATTA